TTTTTCGACTCTCCACTCTCCTAACCCTAACCCTAATACATCCAAAAAAAAAAACATTGTTTTGACCCCCTTCTTTTTGTGTGATGAGTTCATGACCGCCTTAGAATGGTGATACATACATATCCGGAACATCATTCCTTGTCGTTGCCTTCTCGTTTTCTGTCTGGCACGTTCTCAAAAAGCTGAAGGATTTTCGTCTGCCTCTTTTATTCTCTTAAATTACTCTACACACAGAGCTCCAGAATCCCCTTCCTTTCGATTGGCTTTTCGCTGAACAGTGCATTTTCAATGCCTTTTTATCCTTTTTCGGCCACACGTGCATGCTGCAAAAGGCTACAAAGGAACGCGCACGGGAGCGTAAAAACAATGGGCGAGAGCAAGACGAGCGGGCCATGAACCGCGGGGGAGCGCAGAGAACGACGGCCAGCCCCGCCACACAAGAGCTCGTCTCGACACAAAACACCAAGGCCCAGCAACACCGCACACCTTGCGGGCATTTGAGAGATCGCCTGTCCATCGGCTCGCTGGGAGCTCGCAAGGAAGGGCCTGGACGCGATCTCCTGCAGGGATTGCCGAGGCTCGCGCCCACCGCTTCCCCTGCCCACCATTCCCCAGCGCACGTGCAAAGACGCTCTGAACACCTCGCTCAAGCACGCGCGCACCCGCCAGCAACACCACACATCTCGACACCCGCAGATCCATGCCAACAACATGCAGCCCATCCGCCAGCAACACCGCACGCGCCCCATTATGCCAGCACTGCACGTGCATGCGCACGCTGAGGACACTACACCGCACCCGCCAAGACGCAAGGTGGAGCTTCAAAGTCAACGCCAAAAAGGGACACAAAGAGGGGGGGCTCGAGGTCGCTAGAGAAGAGCGTAAGAAGAGGAGGACGAGCGCATGAGCAGGCGATGGGAGCACGAGTCGAGGAAGATGCGAGAGGCAAGACGCAAGACGCAAGACGCGATAAGCGCAAGAAGAGGAAGGCGGGGCTCAAGAACGATGCCTCTTGACCCGTGCACGGAGACGCAGGGCACGAGGGGACAAGAAGCGGGAGAACAACTACACGACAAGCACAGCCCCACCATCACCGTGTATGCGAACGCGCAGCACGAACGAGCGTGCAAGTCCCTCGCATCAGAGAGTACGCGGATGCGCTTACGAGCACGGGGAGTACAGCACACGTTCCTCGCGTCTGGGTGTACGCGTATGCTATACGAGCCCGGGGAGTACAGTGTGCGTGTACGAGTACGCGTCCCCGTGGAAAAGATAAAGATGAGGCGGACGCCAAAGCCGCAGCATCCATGGCGCCGCGCAGACGCCTTCCTCGCACGCTCAAGGACGAGGCCGAGGACGAAGATGAGAAGGGCGAACGGCACCGAAACGCGAAATGCGAGGGAGGCGCAGACACAGGCTCGAGCAAGACGAGGTGCAGGCACCTGCCGTCCAGGAAGCGCTAGAGACAAAGGCGCAGACGAGGCAAAGGCAAAGGCTCGAGCGAGGCAAGGCGCATGGGCCCTTAAACGAAGCCGAGCGCCTCGCCACCGGGAGCAAGGAATGCAGAAAAAGAAGAATGAAAGCAAAAACAAGATGAGGAAAAGAGGACAAGGAAGAGGAGGGAGGGGCGAGTGGATGGTATGAATGATGAGTGACGGAGTGGTAGAAGAATGGAATGGAAGGAAGGAAGGGGTGGGACGAATGAGATAAGATGGATGTAATAAATGCTCACCTCACTTCGCTTCCCCTCCTCCCCATGCTGGGCGTAGGCGTCCTCGGGCTGTCTCCTTGGACTCTCGTTCGTCTGGTGCGCAGGTGTCGCCTCCCTCCTCTCCCTTGCCTTCCTTCCTGTGTACCTCTTCCCGTTGGGTGCGCCCTTCCAACGAAACCCAGGGACTCCTCCCCTCCACGGGCCACCTCTCCCGCTCGCCCGCCGACAGCGACGAGCACGGACTGCCTGACAAATATGACGTCTTCCCTCCATTGAGCCCCTCTTCCCGCCCCCAGCGAGCACCTGCGCCAGCCTCGCCCGCAGCACCTCGTGCTCCGGGTCCCGCTCCCTTGTACTCAACGGTGAGTGGGAGGGGGAGTGAGAAGGCGAGGGCGAGGGGAGGCGGCCCTTGGGCCGGGCGAGGCTTGGGCATGGGCTCTGGGCTCCGGGCGTACGAAGAGGGATGCGGGTGGGAAGCGAAGGGGAAGAGGAGGAATAGGGTGAAGAGAATTCGGAGTCACCTCCATTCCTCTGCGCGTGAGCACTGTTGTCGCCTCCATTCCTGTAAGTGCCGTTATCGTCCTGTGCAGCGGACGAAGGGGAAGGATGTGCATGCCCAGAGCCAGGCAGGGCCGAAAAGCTAGGCCACAGGGAAGAGGAGGCGGAGGCAGGCGGCGTGCAGGAGCTGTTCCGAGCACGGGTGGGCATTTGAGGGCACCTTGGGCTCCCTCCTGCTCCAGCTGGTTGCAGGTAAGGAGTGGGTGAAGGCATGGAGGGGAAGGCGGGGTGTTGGGGCTGGGGGGCGTGCATCGTCGGGGTGGCGGTGCTGGATTTGAAGACGTCGACGTCGCTGTAAATGTACTTGAAGTGGGTGGGAGGGTATGAGGATGTCGACATAGACGTGGAGGTGAAGGTAGAGGTGGGGGCAGGGAAGAGGCCACCGAGCGCGGCGAGGGTGAGCGAGGCACGTTTGTGGTTGGGGTTTGGGTATTAACACGCGAGGAACGAGCGTCGTATGTTGAAGTGTCTGTCTACGAGAGACCAGGGTTTGCGTATTCAGCTTGGGCGTAACGGACATGTGCAATGCATTCAGCGTCGTATGTGTGGTACTACAACTTGCGCCACTTCCACTGGCTCTTGTCGAGGTCGGAGAGGCTGTCGCGGGACAGTATGGGCGAGAGCAGGCCGAGGCTTGGGTGCGGCGGTGGCCCCTGCCTTTGCGCTGTGCAGGAGCTGCTATAACGGCGTCAATAAAGGCAATAACGAGAAGGGTGAATAAAAAGCAGGAAGGCAGACTCACGGGACCGGTGCATCGAAGCAGGGGATATCTACGTCCCTGCGCGTGGGGCATACGAGGTGCACAAAAGATTTGTAGGCGTTGTGGTCGCTACTCGCAGTGGGTGAAATGAAATCAAGGGGTACCCGCTGGAAGATGCCGAGACATCAGCTATAGGGGAGGGTGGGTCCGCCGGATCCTTATTTCACTTTTTGGAAAAATGTTCGGAGGGCCGCGAAAATGTGTTTGGAAGAGTTGAGAAAAAAATGGGTTTTTTTGGGGGAGAAAAAAGCCTTGTCAGGATGGATTTTCTGGTTCTACGATAGAGTCGCGTAGATGCCCTCATCTGTGCGAAAATGACCGTTCACGCGGTTGCTTGCACTGAATTGATTAGAACATTGAAATAAATGTAGAGAGAAAGGTAGATGTAATTGAGCAAATGCTATAGATCTAGACATGCAGTATAGTGCCCCTCCCATCTCTGACCGCACCGGAATCCTACAATGAGACATAATATAATGTATGGTTCGTTACAGCGCGGCTAATCTGTGGTCTTCGTTAGTACAGGGACTATGAATAATCACAAAACTCACTTTGAGAATTCATCAATGCTGGCGCACTGGCAGTGACTAAATGATCGAAATATTAGTATTCTGGATCTGGATAAGCCACAGACGGCATTTAAATGCGACGCAGCGCAGGAGGAATGGGTTAAATGACCAGAAACGACCAATCTTGAAATGACACGAGACACAAGCAAAGCGGATGTTGGTTCTTGGAAGAGAGCCAAAGTCAATTTGTGATATATATAAATCTTGAGGATTTGAGCCGAGAAGACTTTGGGATTGCAGGAGGAGTCACGGTTCCAAATTTGAGGACACTGAAGGAGGAGACTGGAGCTGCATGGAACTGGTACTGGCAGGAGAGGACTTGGAAGTGGGAGGAAAGAAGCAAAGCATGCCGACTTGGCTCATTTTTTTTTTTTGGACAAGTTCGCGCTTCTCAAAGTCCTAGGAGGAGGGGCTCACTGTAGAACGAGGTAGAACATAAGGATGTATAGAGAGCAGCGTCGATGGTAGACGATGGCTCTCTACGTGACTCTATAGAGAAGGCCGATCTCTATCGGGCTCTACCGCGTGACCGGCGATCTACAGTGCGGGCCGGTCTCTACCTGCCCAAAAGTTATTTCCAGATGCGGACATGGTGCAATGTGCAGGACAAGGCTGTCATTTGAAGTTTTTTTACCCTGTCCATAAGTAGCGCACGACGAGCGCCGCACAAATGCGGATGGTAGAGCGTGAACAAGACAACGCGTGGGGTTAGACGTCTGCTTAAAATATACTATGATTTATCCCGATGTGACAAGCGTGTGATTGAAAGTAAAGTTTAAACGAGCAGTAACGACCAAAAGATTCCGCATTTGGGTGATGACATAACCATCTGATGTTACTGATGTGATGTCACATAGGGAGGGAGGGTCCAGCACGACCTTAATTCACTTTTTAGACCTAGTGTAGGTAATTTTTGATGCGAGTACCCCTGAATGAAATGAGGTTGAGACTCTTTCCGGCTAATTACGTGACGGTGCCGGCCATCAAACCCACCTTCGGCGGTGAGATCTAGATTCTACGCATCATCGTTCTGTCCCTGTTCACTGCACAGCGTTCTGCACCTCTCTTGTGCCGTTTTCGATTATACCGACGACCGCTCAGTTCTGGGACAAAAGATAAAAGGATCAAAGTATTTTCCGGGCTTCAGACCCGATGCGCCACTCGCACCCATTAATATTCCCTCTCTCTTCCCTCGACAGTGGAAGGACTCGCCGTGAAGGCACACGGCACGCTCTTACTAGTACTTCGACTCCGATATCCACGCGATCCACGAAGTGCAAGTTACAGAAAGTTATATATGCTCGAGTAGGTGTGTCTTTCCGCATCAATTTGCGAATGACATCAAAATGGCCACAAGCAAATCCAGACGGTGTCATAACCAATTTGATGAAAATGCGAGGGAGGCCTGGTGGTGTAGTGGTTAACATTCCTGCTCCACCTTATTGTAATTATCCCGAATTTACAGCGAGAGATCCTTGTTCGAATCAAGGTCAGGCGGTTTTTTGTCACCTCAAGTACTCTGCTTTGACGAAAAGGGGGTTTTATCCAAGCTTGTACGAGCATAAAGACGGCCTGGTGGTGTATTGGTTAACATGCCTGCTCTAATTTCATCGTAACCCTCGTGTTTCAGTAGGAGATTCCTTGTTCGAATCAAGGTCAGGCCTTTTCTTTTTTCCGCACACTTCTCTTTGAAGAAGGGGGTTTTCTCCAAGTTTGTGGGCATGCGCTCGTGTCCGTCCCTTCGGCAGGTCGACAGCTTGTTGGGGCTCTGCCCCAAACCCCATGGGGACACAGTGGATTCCGAGTTTCGAGTTTCCTCGCAGACACGGCGGATTCTGCGTTCAGGGGGTTTGCCCAGGTTCGCCCGCACACAGCTAATTCCGAGTTTCCATGTGACATCCATGTGACTTTATCACCTACTTATGTTTGTGCACTCCTGTGGAGTTCAAATGTTGTAACTGGCCTTGCCAAATCGACTTCCAATGTCATATGCACCACTCCGACACCTCAAAGCCAAAACTCCAGGACTCTTGATCACCATTTTGTCTTGTGGACCCGCGAAGCGTACATACTGTACATCCGTTTGCATTTCCAGTTATCAATGTTGATCTTGACTTTCAGCTGCATGCATGGATTGACTCCCTCAACTCAAATCGACATACATCGCTGCCCCAACTTCCATGCGAGATCCGAGTTCCACCATTAGCGGCTCCTAGGTGCCTCACAAACTCGCGCAGAACCCGGACCTCCCTCACTGCCAGGTGTCTTGCCCCTCCTAGGCGCTCCAACTCTGCACACCCATGCACCACCCTGGAAGGTAAGGTGACGCACTCCAGCAAATCAAGCAAATATAATGCAATGCCTGCAGGTAAATCACCATAGGCTATCTCTTCGCATGCCCTGGCTTCATGAATTGAGGATCCTATTAAATGCTGACTTCGCGACTTCGGCGCGGTGCTTGTTTATGGCCCAGCTATTCTCGCGCTGCGCAACTTTTGCGGGCCCAGCTCATTTTTGGCCTCGCAAAGGGTGGTTCCTGAAATAATTGGACCTACCTAACTGCGCAAATCCTGCAGCGAGCGTCGTCCCAATCTCAAAGCTCGTCGTTTCCCACGAACCATTTATACTGTTGGTATATCCTTTACAGATGTTTTTCAAGCTAATTGTGGCTACGCCCACATAAAGCGTGTGAATGGGACTTCGCTCAACTGAGACTTGAACACGGAGAAGGTGAGCTATGTGGGTTGAACTTCTATCTCATGATCATGGTCGTGTGTTGATGTGATTCGTGTTCAACGAAGGGTATTGGAAGCATCCACCTGAAATCTCCACAGAAATAAAACTTCGTCAACCAGGGGAGAGAACCAGATACTGTACTATTACATTCAGTTCAACAGTCACGCGTCACAGGGGGGGTTATTGAATAGGCTCGACAGTTCGAAAAATTCTAAAAAATGTCTTCCAGCAGCGGGAAGGCCATAAAAAAATCTCTTGCGCATCCCCTGAATCGAAATAGGCTATTTCTGTTGCCCTTTGCCTTCATATCAGTCCACATTCAATAAACTCTCACAAAATTGCTGGGAGAACCATTCCCGAGGCAATTAATTTGAATTTTAAACCAATGTCTGCCTGGTTTGCCCTGCTTCCACAGAAACCCCCAAAACAACCCTACGATGTCCCTGCATCATTTTGGGACAATGTCGAATTTTTTGGAAGTGTCAAATATGTTCCAGAAGTCACGTGGCACAACCCCTGTCGAATTGAACATAATAGTACAGTAAGCACAATCAGAGCGGAAACATCACTAGTACTGTTTCAGAGAAGGTATCTCAGGATCGATTTCTGCTCGGACTATGACTTTCCCCAATCCGATTTTTTTCCTGTCATAATTGCACCTAATAATCCCATATATCAACACTAATTAGAATGGCTACACCGGTGTGTGTAGCCATTCCAATTAGAGGCGATATTGCGAATGCCCACATGCTGCAGAACATGCTGCAGATATGTTGCAGATATGCTGCAGATATGCTGCAGGTATGCTGCAGCATATAGCACAGGGGACTTGGGCGTTTTTTCTCTCTCTCGTGTATTATATAAGCGCTCCGCTGCTGTCCCAAAAAGCAAATCATTAAAAAAAATTGTAGTGTAGTAGTACCATAAAAAATTCAAGTTAAATGGAAAAGAAAATCAGGCTTCATCGCCACTCCCCCCATCCTCGCCATCAACTGCGAGGATAGAAATGCGGTACATTAAGCCTGAGACCGCCCGCTCCTTGGCCACATCTCCCTCACCCTCCTCGTCAGAGTCCGCTGAGGCTGCCTGTGCTCTATATTCCTCCACCTCGTTGCCGTCGTTGTCACCTGTATCCTCCCACTCCTCATCCTCCTCCTGTCGCCACCCGACTACCGCTGCATCCACCACGACCGTGTCATCCACCTCCATCTCATCTGCCTGAGCTGCCTGTTGTGCCTCTCTAAGCGACCTCTCTGCTGCCCGCCGCTCCAACGACACCCCAGGAATCAGAGATGCAGTAAATCCGGGCGTCTTTGCCAACGCCCAGAATCTACGCATGTGGCCATCGTCGAAGCGCCCACGGCGTTGACGATACAGTCGCACCTGTACCGCCATCCCAATGTCCCTCTCGATCTCCTCCTCGTTCTTGCCCTCGGTCTCCCTCAACCCACGCTCCATCCTACAAAGGAAACGGTTTTCGTCTGCAATCCATGTCACCACTCGGGGGATTTCGACATTCAGCCTCTTGATTTCCTCTCGTGAGCGCAAGATTTTGAAATAGCGGTCCATCATTAGTCGGTACGCCGGGCGAGTCCATGGCCGTGATTGGACCTCCGCTCGGGTGTCCCGCAGGATGTCAAAGTCGGCAAGAAAGGCATACTCAACCACTTGCTCCCAGGTCAGAGCAGGCATGGGTGGCTCGAGCACGGAGGCCGCGACGTTGTAGCGCTCAATGGCGCTCCTTACCGCCTTTGATCTTGCCTGCAAAGCCTTCGCGATATGCTTCCGCATTTTATAGCCTACCAATAAAGTCAGTTCACGCCATATATGCAGCTTCAAGGAATTACCCGTTTGCGACTGATTCATTTTGGTCAGCTCAAAGATCCGCTCCACAATCAGTAGCTCCAGCGAGTCGAGAGCTAACTGATACTTGCGCTTCTTGATCTCGGTGGTCGTTGCAACCCACTTGGGCGTCGTTGTTGTCCAGCGCTCCACAATGTTGAGGCACACCTCCAGCTCTTGCACACTCTCGAGATCCTTGTCCGTCTTCTCCTTTGCGTGGTGTCTGGCAAGCTCTGCCTTTGGCACCCCGGGTGCATATGGTGCATCATCGTCCCTCGCACGCCTAGCTTCTGCTGCGCAGACATTGTACTTCGCCCTGTAAAAGAAGGTTAGTCAGAGTGAAGCATTGTCCAAAACCAGAAGTACTCACTGGCTCGCACTCAGATTCACCAGCTTCTGTACATAGTCCATCTCCATAGTCTCCACATTCGTCTTTGGCGCATGCTTCAGACTCAGGAGGTACGCTTTCTCCTCCGCAAGCCACTCATGAAACTGGGTGTAGCTCTCGACACCCTCCTGCTGCATCCAGGTCTTCACGGTCGCCTCGGTCTTGATGATCGCCAACGCCTGCCGATAGTTGGAGACGAGGAACTTGCCTGGGCGTATTGTCAGCTGGGAGGGAATACAAATGAATAATTGACAACGTACTCAGATTCGCATACGTTTCGAAGCTATCAAAGTGTTTTGCGTACGTTGTTATTTCCTGCTGGCGATGAAAACGGCTTGCATATCGACATGACTTCGCCAGGCCGTTCGAGCGTGAGAAATACCTCTCACAGCCCTCGAGATCCTCCAGCCCCATCCCCTCCACGTATGTGGCGAGGAATCCCAGCTGGCAGAGACGGTTGTGGGCGTGGCCATGGAAAGACCCGACCAAGCACTTCAGCTTCATCTCCTTCGCGAGTTCACCGAGGTCGCTGTTGGCTACGGTGGCCTGGAAGTGGCAGCCCACATCGTAGCCAGCGCCAAGCTTGATGCCAAAGGCGTCGAGAAGCTCCTTGACGACTGCAAGAGGGTATTTAGCTCTGTACAATGCAAGGTCAGCGCGCTCACATTTATCGAGTGAAGCACTTACAACTCTCCACTTTTGATCATATCCATCAGCACCAAGACAAATCCGTGGCGACAAAGAGCGAGGAAGATCCCCGTCTCGTCGAAAATGCCCCACATTCTCGATGTGACGTCATTGATCATATTTATCCAACGATCTGCACAAGGATTATCTTCCTCCTGTAAGACTTGCATCAGCGTCTCCCTCACGAATTAAAGTAGGTCCACTTACCGAGTTACCTGACTGCATGGGCAGTATCTCAGCCAGCCGTGTTCTCGCCCATATTTCCACCTTTTCACGCGATATGTAATACCCATCCCCCGCGTCCCTATTGTCCAGTCGTTCACTCGACTTCGCCAGAGTTGGCTCGCCGCTCTCATCGTGCGACATCGTCGACTTTTCACGTCGCAAAATCCGCTTGAGGGAATCATTGCCGTCCATTGTGGTCAGCATGTCGAATATCAGCTCATCCTCGCCCTCGAGTTTGTACATGCAAGCGGGGCATGTGTGTTTCATTCTCCAGGTCGAGTCGCGGCGCAGGGCGCTCATGACATGCTCGTCCGTTCGCCGACGAATATCAAGGTACAGATCGTATGCAATGGAGAATTGTTGGCATAAATACGGACGATACGCGACCTGCACGGCAAGTTAGGTAGGTATTTTGCTGTAATGATATGAATAACAACGCACCCCGTGCATATCACTCAGTGTCTTCACGAAGGACTGGATAGCAAGTTGAGGGCAGCGGACATGCATGACGCGGTATGCCTCAAGAACGCGTATTTTGATGGTGACCGTGGGCTTCCAGGGCGCACAAGGCATCAAGCCTTCGAGGATGAGTGCGGGGACGATGCCACCGCCGCGGGGATTAAGCTTTACGTCGACTTCGGTCGTGTCTATCAAGTAAATAAGCAGACGTTGTTACATAGTAAAGTAAAACAAAAATCACCAAACATATCAACGACCTGTACCTCATATATCTCCTCCACTGTCGGTACGCGTGGTTCTTCAGAGCTCGCCCTCGCCGGAAGTTCC